TCCAACCTTAGTGATTCTGTGAAATATCTGCATTTGCTGTGTGAAATTCTTTAACCTTATTTTAAAAACTGTTCTCTGAAACTAAGATACAACTGAACTCAAAACATTGCTGCTCAACAGTATATGAGGGTTAATTACACATCCAGAGTTAGAGACAAAAGTTACCTTTTTCTCCTTGATCTCCCTTTTGGCCTTTGAGACTAACCATGTCCATGTTGTCCATCGTTCCAGGTTTTCCTGGGAGACCAGCTTCACCTTTATCTCCTTTGACACCAGGATCACCCTGTGGTCCAATTACACCTTTGAAACCTTGGCTACCTATAAAGGGATAGCACAGAATATTATAGTGGCGTACAAAACTTTGCAAAAATATTTAGTAGACAGCAACAAATAAAATTAGCTATTTATTCAAATTTTAAGCACCAAATACCATGCTCTGGAACATCGCATTTATTTCATATGAAGTTTTTTATACCAGGACTTTGCAATAGCTCTGTCAAAAAAGTTGACATATTTTCCCACTTCACAGCCATTAGTTTTAGACTCTCAAAACAATAGGGATAGGAGTTTGGCACTTATACAGGATGTAATTTGAAGGATTTAATTAAGACTTTCCTGCTGTCTTTTTATAATTTTAAACACAGTATTTTTCTTGGAGTAATATCTATAGCATCCTTACACCTAGCAAACCCTTATGTTGTTAAAGAACAGATCAAAAATCCTGGCTTGGTGCCCAAATACCTGACTGCTCCTAAGATATGGCTTTCTAAATTACACTATTTCTAACTTACAGGGAAGTTACTTGACATAAAACTTTCCTTAGGTCAAGCATACTCCTTATATGTGGTTATTTACAGACTTGCCTTCTGCTGGGAAAAAGGTGTATTTTATAATTTTGATTTTGAGAAAAATCTTACCTTTTTCACCAGGCAACCCTCGATCTCCAACTGGTCCAGGAGTTCCTGGCAATCCAGGAGTTCCCATAACTCCCATTTCTCCTTTGGCTCCTGAAACCAAAGTGAAAGAGTGAATAACAGAAATAGAGCAAGCAGTGTAAAGAAGTACAAGAAATGGAATTATTTACTCCCTATCATACTAGGAATTGCACTACTTAAGGAAAAATGGGACAAAGAGATGATTAATTTAAAATAGCCTCATAGAGAATACAACAGCAAAAACAGTGTTATGAAAACCAGAATAAAACACAGTTTGTAATGGGTTTTTGCCAGATTCTTAAAACTCCTTACTACAGTAAACAATACTGTCATTAACAAAGGCATTATTAAAACCACATTCTGTCACTGAAACTGTGCAGAATAATCCCCTTTCATCATCACAGGCTAAAGGCTAGTTCCTGCAGGTTGCTGGATTTGATCCACCAAAGGACTTGAATAGCAGTTCAGTAACACGTGCACAGAGCTGCTTTACTGACGTCAGCCTGTGTGTTTTCCAAAGCTTGGGCTCTTTGATGGATCAATTCCCAACTGGGTGAAAGGGTGTGCTACCACAACTTAATACAACAGTTGCCAAAGATGCAGGTTTCCAAGGGAAAAGATGGTTACCTGCTGATCCTTTCAGTCCAACGGCCCCCTGCGGACCCGGCAAGCCAGGTAACCCCACAGAGCCTGGTACTCCGGGCTGGCCCTGGCTACCTTTATCCCCTTTTGGTCCTGGCATATCTAGACCTGGGACACCAGGGAAGCCCCTTTCTCCTTTTATTCCAGGAAATCCTAGGAGAAACAGAAGATACAGGATTAGTCCTTAATGGAGCATGGGTAACACCGTTAACAACAGTATTTGATAATGTCCACCTGCGGTTCAGAAATTACACAGCATGAATAATGAAGACTCAAAGCCAGACAGCAGAAGTAGTCATCATTTTCTAAGTGAGTCTTTGATCCTGTGTATACTACCCACTGATGGCCTGAGGAGACCAAACAAAATGGCAGGAGTTTTCTCAGGAGGCCTCACCCTGCATTTTGGACCAGATGGAGGAGACCCGATGACATGACCGCCCCCCTGCCCTGTGCACCCCCCACTGACCTCACACCACAAAACAGTTCACGAACAACACTTTCACCAACACCAATATCCATTTATTCCAAAAGTCCGCTCCTAAGCGCTGCCAGGGGAGTATTTTCCTCTCACCTGGCGGTCCCTGGGGTCCCGGCTGCCCAGCGGGTCCCGGCGATCCCTGTGGGCCCAGCCCTGGTGCACCCGGAGGGCCCTGCAAGCCTTGCAGTCCTGGGAGGCCGGGGTCGCCTGCGGGGAGACAGACATAGACCGAGCATCCCCCCACGTTATTTGAAATCTTGTTTGCCAAAGTGCTAGACAAGGTGCTTTGGAAGCACTTGGCCAACAAGACCTCATTTCAGCCTCTAACACCTCCTGCCTGGGCTCGGAGGAAGGGGCAGCTCTTTGCTGCTAGCATTTGCTACCTGTGGTTGGTAGGTGAAAACAAGGGGAAGGAAAAAGGGCAATACCCTGAGGTATCAGTAGGATATCTCAGTGGTGAAAAGACATTTTGTTGAATCTATGGGGCACTGACTTTAAAAAAGAAATAGAAATACAGAGCTGTATTTTTCCAGAGACATTACCTCTGAATCCTTGCTGTCCAGGTATGCCCGGAAAGCCCTGCTCGCCACGTAAGCCAGGCAGTCCTGGATTTCCCTTCTCTCCAGGGATGCCAGCTGGGCCCGGGGGGCCTGGCAATCCCTTAGGGCCAGGGAGACCTACACCAGGTTCACCCTAGCCAAAGAAACACAATAGATTAGGAATCAACACATCAAAACCAAGAATTCATTTACTGACTGTTTAAATCACTCAGAGGCGGAGTGCTACACGTGACTTCAGGGGAGAGCCGTAAGCCCTTTAGTGTTAATGCCAAGCATTCATCCATCTACTCCGTTCCTTTGTGTGCATAGTGGGAAACATAAGAAAAAGGCCAACTTTTTTTTTTTAAAGAGCAGGATCTTTGCACACATTCCTGGAAACATTCAGGGTCAGGTTGGATGGGGCCCTGTGCAACATGACCTAGTTGAAGATGTCCCTGCTCACTGCAAGGAGGTTGGATTAGATGACCTTTAAAGGTCCGTTCCAACGCAAACTGTTCTATGATTCTATGATTCCTGTTAACATGGACAGTCACAGATAATAGTATCAGCAGCTGACACCTACTTTTTGACCTTGTAAACCTGGTACACCTGGCAAACCATCCAGACCAGGAGTTCCCGGAGTCCCTGGCAGACCAGGCGAGCCAGGCTGACCTTGGAAACCTACAAAACAAAACAAAACTCCCATCATCATCATCTCTGCCTGTAAGTGTCCTCTGCTGTTTCTTCAAGCCTCTAACTGAACTATTCACATCCTCACAGGGACTTGTTTAAAAAGGTCTGTGTAGTCTTTCACGTCAAACTTTTAGGGATGTCAGCACCCAAGTGTCTCAACAGAGATTCAAATGCTGAGCTTTGTGCAGCATTTGGCTACTGATGAGAAGCAACCACCCAGAAGAAATAAATGCTGAGTGCCTCCTCTGAAATTAGTAGCCTTGTGGGTTCATGTCATTGAGAAACATCCTGCCTGCAAAACTGGGTTCCCAAAGTCTTCTTCAGAAAAGGCAACTTAATGTGTGGGGCATCAGACTGAGGGATGCACGACAAAATCTATCTGTGAATCAACACCTTTTGTTTACTGTCTATTGTATGATATATCCTACACG